GGATTTTTGGTGCCTTTATTCATATTGTAAACATTTGCCTGTTTTTTCCCATATCCAATTATCTAAGGCATGAAGGTTTTCTCCATATAAGAAATTTTATGCAGCAACACTTGTTTACTTAATCCATATGTTTGGCTTGTTCCTGTACTCCGAGATTTTGTCAAAAAAAAAACATATCTGTGCTTTATTTTACTTCGAATGGTTGGTGAGGGTAATTAAGTGACGCATTTGCAAGTGTTTAATATTTAGGTTTGAGTCCGACTTGTGCAGCGCGCACAAATAAAAAGATATAGGGATTTGTTTATTACAAATTCAACTATCGAAATTCAGATTTATTGGTTTAATGCTATTACACGTTAGAGTTTAATTGGTATATGTATGTGTAGATGCACGAGTTTAAGCTAATTTGATTTGATGATGTTGTCGCTTGGGCGGCTGTTGAGCAATTAAAAATAACTAAATCGGTGGTGGGCGGATCGGGCAAGGCGCGCGTTGCCAACTACTCTGATACCCGCCTGGCCAGATGAAATTAAAATGGGCACGAATCAAAGGGTTAAGGGCTCATGTCTCCAACATGGCGCCCCGCCTGCCTCGGTGCCAAGTGCAGCAGCTCCCTTTCGAGTTTGTCCATGATGTTTCGGGCTTCAGCAATCAGTCGCCGCAACCTCCGAGCCCGTTGCTGAGCAGAACGGCTGTGTAGCTCGGTCCTAACACTTCCCTTCTTCTGGCGCGTGGCGCCCCGCTTCTCTCTATGGAGTAGGGTGTGGTGCCCTAAGCCACATCGATGGCAGCTGTCTTCGGAATCGCAGGCTCCGGTGGAGTGTGAAGTCGCCAAACAGTTCACACAATATTTGTGCAAGCGTGCACACTCATAGCGGTCGTGGGCATCCATAGCGCGGAAAGCGGTACACAAGCGCAGCGGGTGGAGTCGGCCACACAGTCGGCACTTTGGGGAATCCTTTCGTGACCTGTAAATATACGGATTGAGGAGAGACTTTAGTACTGGGTCAGCGTATATTGTGAGGCTTTGTAATGAGTAGAAGTACATATACGCATGGGTTATATATTCTACGGGTAGAACAATGGGAGTTGGGTAGGATAGATAGCATAAATTTAATTAGAGTATTGTGTCGGGTTTGGTGAGTATCCTAACGTCAGGCAGGGGGAAGCACACACAATTTATGTATGTTTCGAGTTATGATTCCCTGCTGGGTTTTTATATCTACAACCCGAATGTTTTCATCGGGGCCGGGATGCAAGTGTGTGATGCGACCCAGTCGCCACTCGGTCGGAGGGAGCCAGTCATCTTTAACAACAACCAAATCTCCTTCTTGAACGTTTTTTTGGGAAGTTTTCCACTTGTATCGCCGTTGTAAGTCGTGTAGATACTCGTTCTTCCATCGTACGCTGAACTGATGATGAAGAACCTTGAGTCTCTGCCACTTATTTATGAGTGAAAGTTCTTTGGCATCCGGTTCCGGTGGTGAGACAATGGGAGCTCCTCGTAGAAAATGCCCGGGAGTAAGTGCCAACAAATCTTGCGGGTCCTGTGTCATGGGAGAGAGAGGTCTGGAGTTTAGAACCGCTTCAATTCGAACTAATAGGGTTGCGAACGCTTCGAAAGAGAATTTTTGATTTCCGGCAACTTTGGTGAAATGCGTTTTAAAACTTTTAACGGCCGCCTCCCAAAGGCCACCCATATGAGGGGCATATGGTGGGATGAAGTGCCAGGAGAATCCATGCAACGCATATGTTTCTGCGATATCAGAGGCCGCTTCCTTTAAGAAAAGAGCGAAGTCCTTTTTTAGGGCTCGCTGTGCTCCCACAAACGTCTTTCCGTTGTCCGATAAAATCTTGTGCGGCAGGCCACGACGGCCAGTGAATCGGGTAAAAGCCGCTTTGAACGCTTCCGTAGTCAAGTCGGAACACAATTCTAAATGAATGGCCTTGGTAGAAAAACACACAAAAACGCATACATATGCCTTTGTGTACGACGCTTTTCGAAGAGGTGACGTTTTGATGAGGAATGGGCCTGCAAAGTCAACGCCAGTAGTGTGAAACGGGAGAGTAAAGGTGGTTCTTTCAGGGGGTAATGCAGCCATTATTTGGGATTTCATCCGCTGTTTGTATATCGTGCATGGTTTGCAGTGAAAAATGCACTTTTTGACCTTCTGCTTCAGGCGTGGGATGAAGTATTCCTGTTGTATCATCCGGATCATGAGTTGTTTCTCAGCATGAAGCAATGTTGTGTGAAGAAAATCTAGGAGAAGAGAGCAAAATATGGAGTTATCGGGTATTATTATAGGATGCCTCTCATTGTAGCTTAGTGCGGCATATTTAAGGCGTCCATTTACACGCATTATGCCTGCATTGTCGAGCATCGGATTGAGGGTGAGCAGAGGGCTCTTCTTGCTGAGTGACTTCGAGGACTCAAGTAACGATATCGCTTCTCCG